GACGAATGAAAATACCAAAATAAATATCTTCAAGGTACGGCTCTCGGATTCGATCTTGATCATAACCAAAATAATTTTCTCTGATATGGAATGGAATGTAATTCTTTGTAAATATCTCTGTAGGATCAACAGTTGGCTTTGGAGTACTGGATTCTGGCGCAGTAGGTAGATCAGCAGTTAAAAATTCTAGAGTAGACTGTGGATCACCTTGAATAGGAAACTCTAAATCTTCTTCTTCTATATCATCTTCAAAATCAAAGTATAATCCAGTAGWYTCATCAACATTCTCCACATCTTCACCAAAATCCTGCTCTCCACCCAAAGWAGATGTAAATATACTRTTGAAACCTACATTGGCTGACAAGTCCATAAGCAGCCTTGTTTCTACAGTGGAGTCCGCCAGCTTTTCAACCATTGGCTCGATCGTTGGACTTGTCACCACTTCTTCATCTATAAGCACAATAGCCTCATTTGTTCTTTCCCTTGCAGTCTCCGGAGCAGAACATTCAACGTTTTCATCTTGAGGAATTGATTCTTCACCCATTCTTGCACCTTGATGAGATGTCTCAGCCAATCTCTGCCTTTTCTTCTCCCTCTCATGACTATCAGGATCATCCTGATCGTCATGCCTTCGTTTAAGAGATTCGGCTTGAGACTTGCAAGATTCTTCAAGTATAGACACTCTTTCGGCAAGAACATCTATTGAACGTTTTATATCTTGGGTATTAGAAGTAATCAAGTGACTAACTTTAGAAAGTTTATCACTCATCACATTCTGAAAAATCAAAAACTCTGAGGCTCGAATTACTGGGTAAACATCAATTTGTTGACGAAGAAGGCCAACCAAGTCTGCATCTTCAGCATCTTCACTTTGAGCAGCCATCAATTTAGCATAGAGTAATGATTTCAGCTCATCCACCGATAATTCTGGTACAGATGGTTGTGGTACAGGTGGTGGTGATGGCACAGAAGGTGGCTCTTCAACAACTTGCTCTTTCCCCTTAAGCAACCTCTTCAGACTCGCAATTTGTGCGTCAAAATTTTCTTGAACAGCCTTTAGGGCGCCGTCCAAATATTCCCGTGACACAAAGTCGGGTAAACTCACACCTGGATCACTTAGATTACCAGTTGAAACAACAGTTGAGT